AAAAGAAAAGCAATGCCACCATTGGTTGAACCCACCTGTTCGTAACAGCCCCCACGATCGTGAACGTTGGTGACTTGGGAGATCCGGGGATCACGCCCTGGTCTTGGACCAGAACGGCTAAATAGGAAACCTATAGGAGAGGTTGGTTGTGGTGAATAAGGGATGGCAGAGCGAAGCCACTGATGGATCGAAAGGTGATTGATCTCTCTCACTCTTTCTCTCTCTCTTTCTCTGACTACCTATCTGTCTATCTATTTATCTATCTATCTATCTATCTATCTAGCTATCTATCTATCTATCTGTCTGTCTGTCTGTCTGTCTACCTGTCTATCTGTCTATCTGTCTATCCATCTATCTATCTGTACTGCGCCTGCCACGGAAAATGCGTCTTTGCAGATCATCTTCAAATGTCCCATGCCTGCCATCTTTGTCGAAATGCCGCAAAACCCTCATGTTTTGCTCACTTTTGACAAGATCCACAATCTCGTGCGCCTGCCACGCCAAACGACATCTGAGCCTCCAAAAGTGGTCCGAACCCCTAGTGCTCTTAACATTTTGAATTCAAAATGTGCTTCGCGCCACAACGGCGTGCACTTTTTCGACATCTGAATTTCCAAAAGTGGTCCGAACCCCTTGTGTTTTGTACATTTTGAGTTGGAAATGTGCTTCGCGCCACAACGGCGTGCACTTTTTCGACATCTCAACTTCCAAAAGTGGTCCGAACCCCTAGTGTTTTTAACATTTTGACTTCCAAATGTGCTTCGCGCCACAACAGCGTGCACTTTTTCGACATCTCAACTGCCAAAAGTGGTCCGGAGCTGGTGTGTTTTGTACATTTTGACTTGAAAATGTGCTTCGTGCCACAACGGCGTGCACTCTTTCGACATCTCAACTTCCAAAAATGGTCCGACAATGGTGTGCTTTGTACATTTTGACTTGGAAATGTGCTTCGCGCCACAACGGCGTGCAATTTTTCATCTCGCATCTGGCCAGCTGGCTCCGCACCCGCCGCTTTAGCGAGCCTACTTTTCGACCCTCCGGAGCCACAAATCATTGGAAAAACAGTGTTTCGCGACTTTCCTACCTTTTCGCGCATCTGCATCTTCTTTCTTCTGGCTCTTCTCTTCTACTCTTCTCTCTTCTAATCTTTCTCTTCTCTCTGCCTCTGCCCTACTCTGCTTTTCATCTGTCCATATTGTCGGAAGTTTGACTTCTAAACTTCCTTCGATTATTTGTAGATTTCCGTAAAAAGTGTCTCTTGTGACATGTGGACATGCATTTCGACTGCACAGGCTCGCACAAAGTGTGTCCGCGTTCTGGGCCCAATCTGGGCCGCAGCATTTTTCCTGAAAATTTCCGTCCAAAGTGGCTCTTCTGATGTCGTGTGACATGTGGACCTCCGTTTCGACTCCGCAGGCTCGCGCGAAGTGTGTCCGCGTTCTGGGCCGTGGTATTTTTCCTGTAAGTTTCCATATAATAAAGTGGTTCTTCCGATGACTCTTGTAACATGTGGACATGCATTTCGATTTCGCAGGCTTGCACAAAGTGTGTGTCCGCATTCTGGGCCGTGGCATGTCGCCCTGTAAGTTTCCGTATAAAGTGGCTCTTCTGATGTCCCTTGAACTTGTGGCATGTGGACATGCATTTCGACTGCGCAGGCTCGCACAAAGTGTTCGTCCGCGTTCTGGGCTCAATTTGGTCTGCGGCATTTTACTTTGTTTTTCCCGAGAGCGTCTGAGCGCAGGGTTCTTCCAATAGTGGGGGTCTGCAAAACATCTTCTCATTTTCACATCTTCTCATCTTCACATCTGCTCATCTTCACATGTTCTCATCTTCACATCTTCACATCCTCACATCTTCACATCTGCTCATCTTTACATCTGCTCATCTTCACATCTGCTCATCTTCACATCTGCTCATCTTCACATCTGCTCATCTTCACATCTGCTCATCTTCACATCTCATCTTCACATCTGCTCATCTTCACATCTGCTCATCTTCACATCTGCTCATCTTCACATCTTCTCATCCTCACATCTTCCCCTCTTCACATCCTCACATCTTCCCATCTTCACATCCTCACATCTTCACATCTTCTCATCTTCACATCCTCACATCTTCACAGCTGCTCATCTTCACATATTCACACCTTCACATCCTCTCATCTTCACATCCTCACATCTTCACAGCTGCTAAATCTTCTCATCTTCACATATTCACATCTTCACACCTGCTCATCTTCACATCCTCACATCTTCACAGCTGCTCATCTTCACATCTTCTCATCTTCACATCTGCTCATCTTCACATCTGCTCATCTTCACATCTGCTCATCTTCACATCTTCTCATCCTCACATCTTCTCATCTTCACATCCTCACATCCTCACATCTTCTTCTCTTGTCCTCTTGCCCTCTTGCCCTCTCCTTCTTGTCTATTTCTCTCTTGAAGGCGAGGGGCAGGGGCAGTGCCAACGAGACGGCACGAAACGCAACCCTTTCGCACGAAATGAGGTTCGATCGCCAAAAACTGAGGTAAAATTGCGATTTCAACTTAACCCGCGCAACCGTTTCGCACGAAATGAGGTTTGATCGCCAAAACCTAAGCTAAAATTGCGATTTCCGGGTTCCCGTCGCAACCCTTTCGCACGAAATGAGGTTTGATCGCCAAAAACTGCGGTAAAATTGTGATTTCAACTTGTCCCGTGCAACCCTTTCGCACGAAATGAGGTTCGATCGCCAAAAACTGAGGTAAAATTGCGATTTCAACTTGTCCTGCGCAACTATTTCGCACGAAATGAGGTTCGATCGCCAAAAACTGAGGTAAAATTGCGATTTCAACTTGTCCCGTGCAACCCTTTCGCACGAAATGAGGTGCGGTCGCCAAAAACTCAGGTAAAATTGCGATTTCTTCCGTGTGTAAACGTGCCTGGGTAAAAGCTTCTGTGTGCTGTGTGTAAAAGCTTCTGTGTGTAAAAGCCTCTGTGGTGTAAAGTGTGACAGTGTCTGTGTGTAAAAGCTTCTGTGTGTAAAAGCGTCTGTGTAAAAGCGTCTGTGTAAAAGTCTCTGCGTGTAAAAGTGTCTGTGTGTAAAAGCTTCTGTGTGTAAAAGCGTCTGTGTAAAAGCGTCTGTGTAAAAGCATCTGTGTGTAAAAGCTTCTGTGTGTAAAATCTTCTGTGTGTAAAAGCCTCCGTGTGTAAAAGCGTCTGTGTGTAAAGTCGTCTGTGTGTAAAAGATTGTAAAAGTGTCTGTGGTGTCAAAGTGTCTGCGTGCAAAGCGTCTGCGGGTAAAGCGTCTGTGTGTAAAGGCGTCTGTGTGTAAAAGCTTATGTGTGTAAAAGCTGTGTGTAAAAGCTTCCGTGTGTAAAAATGTCTGTGCATGTCTGTGTGCAAAAAAAGCCGTATGTAAAAGTGTCTCTGTCTAAAACCATCTGTGTGTAAAAGCGTCTCTGTGTAAAAGGTTCTCTGTGTGAAAAACAATACGAAAGATACGATGCAAACTATTGTCTTGTACTTGTAATATATTGTCTTGATATTGATATTACTCTTCTCGTCTGCCTATAATACATCTTGAATATATTGTCTTCTAATATGGTGTCTCCTTACTAACAAGAGAAGACCCTGCTCCTCTACGCTCTCGGGCCATCCGTCGTCTAGTTTTTTGGATAAAGTGGCTCTTTTGAAATCTTGACATGCATTATCATGCATTTTGACAGCGAAGGCTCGCACAATGGGCCCGCGTTCTGGGCCCAACCTAGGCCGCGGCATTTTTCCTGTAAATTATTGTAAATTTCTGTCTAAAGTGGCTCTTCTGATGCCTCTTGTGACATGTGAACATGCGTTTCGACTGCGCAGGCTCGCGGCGAAGCATTTTTTCTGTAAATTTCTGTAAAAAGTGGCCCTTCTGATGACTCTTGTGACATGTGGACATGCGTTTGTCAGAAATATATATCAATGCGCTGTTGCTGCTGGATCCGACATGGAGCCAGTCGCAGTGCTGCGCCTTTGCAACCGTGCCTCGCGTGACCAGCAAGGGATGGACGCCGCCCGCGGTGCTCTTCTGCAGTGGGTGGACGATACCTGGCCCGGTCCATGGCTTCTTGGAGGTTACCCCGGCATCGAGAGCTGCTAGCTTCGGGCGTACGGTGGCCGGGCGCTGGGCGTCATTACCGATGCAGCAGCTTCCGAAGGCACGCCTGACAATCTGTCACGATCGAAGACTGCCTGTTATGCCTTTGCTTTGCCAAGTTGGAGCCACTTGGCGAAACGCGCAGCGTCATTGCATGTCGGGTGTCCACAACATGGTGGCGTGCATAATTGCCGTTCCTGGCAGAGCATGCTGCGCCGCTTCCGATTCTACTGGTGAAGATGTCCAAAACTTACGTGGACTGCCGTTGCGCGCCGTGTCCACCGTGTCCGTGCCGATGCGGCGAAGCGATCCGGCACCGTCATCGCATCTCTGGACAGTGATGACGGTGTTCCGTCCGTGACGAGCTCCGCGCACGGCAGAGTGGTGGGCTTTGTGCGCGGGAAAGGTCGTGTTCCGTGGACGCGTCGGCTGCAGCAGGTGGAGCCGCCAGCTGCGGTTGCGCATCAAGGACGCTGGGTGGATCGAAATTTGCCGTGGATCATCTACATGATGAGCTGCGGTTGCGCGCCTCGTTGTCGATCGTTGCCCTGGCACCGTCATCACTGACCGCGCCCCGCTGTCCGCAGTTAAAACAAGTTGTTCGCAGATGTCCGCACTTGTTGCTATCAGTGAGTGCACGCGCAGTCAGAAGTCCTAGTCCCGCGTCGCTTTGTTCCGCCTGTCTTGTCTTGTCTCCCGAAAAATATCTTTATCCGCATCATCATCAACATTAAAATGCTTTATTCTTCTACTGTTTGGGGTCTCTTGCCGGGCTAATTTCTTTCACTGTGGAGATGCCGTTTGCCATGCAAGAATATGCAAAAAATGTTGCGTCCGTGTTTATCACTTTTGTGCGCGTGCTTCCCCGGCGCAGGTAGAAAACATGATGAACCCGATGCAGCAGCAACAAATGATGCAGCAGATGATGCAACAGCATCAGCCTGAGACTGTACCACTTTTCTTGTTCGCCCCATCAGAATTCAGAATGATAGCAAAATTTCAAAGAGGGCATAACGTGTCAGACGCGCTTTCACAATCAATTTTGTGGCGGAGTTCTCCAAGCAATCAGCCGTATTTCGCTTGGCAAGAAGTTGTGTCTGGCACCTGCCGGTGAGGATGGGTGGCAGCACGCCTGCTACACCTTCAAGTGACAAGAACAAAAATGCCCCAACAGCCTCTTGGATTCCTAGTTTCCGCTGTGGCAATTGACTTGTGTTATTTTCCAAGCGCGAGGTTTTGAAATTGACACTGTTGTTATACCATTGCATCTGTTGGAAGGGTATACCTTCCGAGGCAGCAAAGTTGAAAAAACCCGATGATAAGAGCAATATCGTATTCGTCGGCGGCCTGCGAAAGAGCACAACAGAGGAGAATCAGCGAATCCCTGTTCCCCGACGGAATGATTGCCGCAGCTTTGGTCATCGAATTTCTTGAGGACAAAGTTGCCGGTCATTTCTCTAAGTTTGGTCAAGTGGATAGCGTGGCTACCTCAGGCAGTTATTCTTAGTGTTGGGCCCTTTGTTTGTAAGTCTTTATGCATTTTGACGGCCGCGCGTCACACCGATGCACTAGGTCACTAGGACATCTAAGTAGCTAAAGATGCAGGGAGAGAGGCGCTGTTTTTGTTTTAGTCGCAAAAAAGACGAGGTGGACATTAAAAGGCTGCCTGACGGGACGTCGCGTGGGTTTGCTTTTGTGAAGTTTGTGGAGGCAAGGGTTGCAGTTTGGAGTATTGGGGTGATTGTGCTGAGTTTGAAAGATGTGTGGGCGAGGTCGATTCCATCCCCAGGGTCCTCGAAGCTCAGTCGAGCCACATGCTTCTTGACTGCGTTCGGGAAGTTAGTGTTGAAACTTCATTGCAATCATGGCGCGTTGAGGGGTTTTCTGTAAGTTTTCCTCAAGATCGCCAGGGATTGTTTGTGTTATTTTGTGTTGTTACATAGACTAGCAGTCAGATTGGGCTTATGTGGTGGTTTGGGTTGCTGGTTTGGGGGTCTGGGAAATTATGAATTTTGATATATTTTAGCTTGGAACTTATGATGTTTCTTTCATGTTTGCTGGGGCATTATCATTTTGTTTGGTGCTCTGGTACATCCAAAGCTGATTTCTTTGATTTAGGTTTGGTGGAGGTTTCATCGAGTTTTTTGGTGCAATTTTTGGGCACCAAAAGCGCCAAGAAAAGTCCATCAACCATCAAATATCAAATTAAATTTGCATCTAATTTGTTAAAGCACTAGCATTTAGATATTGCTATTAAAGAGAGTTTGGCCGGTTTGGCCTTCTTTTTTGATGCCGTTTTCCGGCAGGTTTCTTGCAGGTTTCTGACATGTTCTTTTCTATCAGAAACTTGCATGAAAGCTGCATGAAACCTGCGTCAAAACGACATCAAAACCACATCGCCCAAAATTCTTATTTTACGACAAGACTCTTCAGGACAGCATTTTGGTGATGTCGTTTTGATGTCGTTTTCACGCAAGTTTCACGCCGGTTTCCTGCAGGTTTGTGACATGTTCTTTTGTGTCGACAACCTGCATGAAACTTGCAGGAAGCCTGTGTAAAACGACATCAAAAGGACATTACCAAAAATACCAAATTTACAAAGAGACTCCTGCAGGACAGCAATTTGGTAGTTTTGAGGCAGGTTTCCCCCTGCAGGTTTCTGATGTGTTCTTTTCTTGTCATCAGTTCATTTCTTCGATGTCGAAACCACGCGCAGGTTTGATCGCGGATTCATCGCGAAACCACGGCGATTTCTGACTACGCAGGTTTGATGCCAAAGTATCGCCGGATCAGCGGCGCTTCAGCGTCAGTTTCAAATCTTCACCTGCAGGCATTCATATTTTACCATAATATATATATATTGATGAAAAAACTATCGTGGTCAAAGTCGGCAGCCCTGGCTCAAGCCTCCTAACAGCGGAGGGGCATTTCCGCTGAGAGCTTGAGAGTTGGTGGTAAGATGGTCCTCTGACGCTGGTACGTACGGGTCGGTCGGTGTTTGGGCGCTTTTCCGGTCAGTCGGTATGTTGATGACTTCGTGGTCGGACGCCGTGCTGGGTTTTAGGATTGCAGGTATTCCTGAGTGCCTGGTGTCTTCGGCTGTTGTCTGGCCTGTCGTCGGCCTTCGATGGGTGGCTCATGGATCGGGTTCGGGCTGGCGTCCTTGCTGACCTCACGGCGAGGCTCACAGCTGACCCTATGGCGGTTGCACTGCGTGAGTGCATCGAAGGCGCCGGTGAGGTTTCGGCTTCGGTCTTGCGTCATCAGCACACAGTGTATGGGGACCCGATCAGACATGCCATGACCGGGGTTGGACATGGTTGAGGAGGTGGTTTTGCAAAGCGTGGTGGCAGAGGAGGCCAGGATTACCGAGGTGTGGTCTCCCGCCGTGGAACTGCCAGCTACGGCCACTGTGCCTTTTGCTGCTATCCGGCGACGTTCACCAGTGGATCGGCAGACGGCAGCCACTCTTCTCAGCGGTGAATCTATGAACAAGGTCTTTCCCCTGTTTCCCATCCAGCATGGGTTTGGGTTGGGGAGATTAAGGTTTTAGTTGTCCAGAGTGGGTCGCTGATCTTGTACCGCCTTCGCCTTTGATCTGGCAATTCGAGGTTGCGACGGTGGATAGGGCAGCCCCGCTTGCTGTCTTTCATGGTCAGGTGCAGGATATGCCTGCGTGGAGGACACCTTGGGTTGTCCCAACATGAGCTCCTGAGGGAATGTGTGGTGAGGTTTGTTCCGTCCGGTGCTTGCATCTTTGAGAAGCAAGGGGAAGAAACGATTATGCCGAGTTCCTTTCATTCAATGGTCGTCCCTCCGTCCATGGTGGCGAACACGGTGGTGACTACTGGTGTCCCTGAGTTTTGAGGGGTTTTGGGTACGTACCAGTCAGACGTCTATAGGTTTGGCGTTCCCATCCGTGCTCTGTGCCGATACGCCATGGCGCTTCTTCATCGGATTGGCCAGGGACGAGGTGCTCTTCAGGCGGTATGAAGAGGATCTACAAGCAGCCACTGGTGTCAAGCTTGGGCGGGCCAAGCATGGTGAGACGAAGGTTTCCAAGAAGACTCGAAAAAGAAGACAGCAGGTACAGCATCAACAAGAACCGTCAAGAAGCCCAGGGTGACGGCGGGTCTTCTTCAAGTCATCCATCCGGAACAAGGTGGTGGCCCTGCTCAAAGAGACAGTGGAGGTTATGGAGGCCGCTCCCATGGAAGAGTGATTCATGAAAGCCGCGGGGACAGCACATCTTCCTCTCGGCCAAGACCTCCTATAAGGCCATGCCGGTGTCCTCTGATATGGCCAGTGGGAGTCGAGGCCGACGAGGACGTTCGGCTTCTCCTCATCCATGGGGTGGTTGAGGGGCGCCCAACTTCGCCGTTAAGGTCGCCTCTTCCTCACCAGAGGGCTGCCATTACGAGGAGCCGTGTCATCCCGGCAGAAAGGTCCGAGTCGCGGGTGGTCATGTTCCCGCCTCATTGGCAATGTCCCACTCCGGGGTGCATGAGCCACGTCAAGACGGTGTTTGCCAAGAAGGACAAGTGCCCGATCTGTCGAGCTTCCCTCTTCCACCAGGACAAGGGGATCTGAGCGAATGAGCGGTAGTGATTTTAGAAGGTTTCACCGCGAGTAGTGAGGTTTCACATGGACGGGAAGCTCGGGACGATCGGGATTACATATGGTGCGGTCGTTGGTTGGTCTTCATGGATGTGGGGCCCCCTCTTCAGGTTTCAGGTCAGTCCTTTGGAAAGCCATGTCAGATTTCATGGGCCTGATACTCTGCAGGCGGAGACGCGTCATCCAGATACTCTAGTTTCGTAGGCGGATCGGTCGCTTGGTGGGGTTGCCTTGGATGAGGAGGGTTGGTTTCCTTGTGCTTCAGCGGTTGAAAGCATTTGGGGAATGATCCATGAATGGCCAGAAGCGACAATGCTGTGGGTGAATGTGAGTCGGAGCTCAGCTAAAGGTCAGGAAGGTTGAAACCCAGGGGCACCCCGGAGGTTAAGGGTGGGCACGACTCATCCCACGCTTCTTGGGAAATCCGCCATCATGTCGGCTTGGGATAGCGAGGTCGTTCTGTGTTCCGAGACATGCAAGTCACACTCGACGTGCGGTAAGGGCTATCTCTGCTGAATTCAGGTCGGTCGTTTTTTTTGTGGGGCTGTGTCGGCCCGTCCCCGACAAGTTCGAAGTGGGGGATGTTTTGGGGTCTTTTCGAGGCTTATCCCGTGGCTGTGGGATTGTTTCTCGTTTTCCTCTTTACAGCTTTGAGTGGCCGGTTATCGATGGTGGCTTTTGGGAGTCTATAACCGGATTTTTTTGGGTGTGGTGCAAGTGGGGGAGCTTGCAATTTCTATGGTCACGATCTATTTGTGGCCCAATGCACCTTAAGACTTCTCGCAGGCATTTGGAGAACTGTGAGTTAGTTCGTGCAGGTGTGCAATTGGTTAGGTCCGTTTCGGGGCCGGTGATTTTGGCCGGGGATTTCAATACCTCGCTGACAGCCTTTGATGATATGAAGGCTTTGTTGGCTGACGGTTGGGTTGATGCGGCTTTGTTTGATGCCGAGCGTCGGGGTATTAGGCTTGAGCCCACTTGCAAGCGGGCTGCCAGGCATACTTTTTGTGTGGTTAGCCCCTTGCCGGTCTCTGCTCTCAGGTCCTCAGTTGTGGATTTCCATGAGGATCTTCCCGCGCATGCGGTCTTGGTCACGGAGTTCGAACTTCCGGCCTCCAATCCTCGTGTATATAAGTGGATTGTTCCGAAGCCTCTGGACCAAATGGCCTTCGATGCGGCCAAACTTGAGCGCCTGTCCAATGAGGTCGGTGAAGCCCGATGACGAAGTGCGGTTGATCGGCCCTTGGAGAGCGGATTGGCCAATGAGGCTTTCGCAAATTGGTCCGAGATAGCTGAGATGATTTTGCTGTCCTCCGTCGCTGGAGAGGTCGATGTATATAGCGGAAGGAGGAAGGAATCCCTGAGTGGAATTCAGTGAGGCCAATTTCTGTGGCCTCTGTGGTTTACAGGATTTCGTCTCGGATCCGCACACGGGAGTTGCTCGCTCTGTGCCAGTCCTTTGCTTTACCCACGGTCGGCCCGCGGCTATCCACACGTTCGCTGTGGGGATATGTTGCTGATTTCGTGGCGGAGGAGGCGCATGCAGGCAAAGCTCCTTCTAGATTAGTTTTGGATATTGATATATATGATCAAAGTCAAAGCTTTCAATCCCCTTCGTCGGCCTTTGGTTCGGGATGCCATGTGCCACTGTGGAGTCGACTGTAACCTAGTAGCGGCTTGGCTGCAAGGTCTCGATGGTATTGAGCGTCATTTGTTGGTCGCTGGGAACAGCTATCGCGCTGAACCACTTTACCGCACCAGTTCTGCAGGTGTGCGGAAGGTGACCCGCTGTCGGTGGTTGCGATGTACTGTATGTGCCGGCTTTTTGCTCTATGGATGCAAACCAAGGCCAATGTCATGCCACTGACGTACGCCGACAACTGGCAAGTTTTGGCAAGTGAGGTCGGCGTCCTGGAGGCGCTCCCCTTCGCTGCTCAGTTTTTGGAGTGCTGCGCGCTTTACTGCAAGAAGCGGGCGGCTATTTATACAAGAAATCAGAGGGTTTCCGCAGGGCATAAGCGCCTGCTCCGAGCAAGAGGTAACCCTGTTCCAGGTGGCGTAGAATTAAGTAGGCTGATTCTGTCCGGTGTCTGGGCTCCATGCTTGCATGGGGCAGAGACTTAGGTCCCTTTTTCCGTTCTGAAAAGACTGCGCACACAGGCGGGGATGGTTGCGTCCCTTGCAAAGCCTGGTGTCAGTCCGTGGTTGGCTTGTTCGGTCGGTGCGGCCCAGACAGTCGATCCTGCCTTATTTGTCTGCTTGTCCAGAGGATCCGTCTTTTCCGGCTGATGTGGCGGGACTTTCCGCAGGCGCGTGCGCGCATGCAAAGAGGGTTGGTCTCTTTGAGGTGCGGCAATGGAGGAGTGCCTTATCTGTGGGCAAAACAGTTGCGGTCTTTCCACCTGGTGGAGACGCCTTTGAAGGCAGTGAGAAGGGTCTTGGAGTCGTCCTGGATGGACCAGGTGGCCAAGAATGTCTCCCATCGGAAGTCGTGTAGCGAGGCTGCAACTACGCCGATGCCGAGGCTAGAAAAGTGGTGGTTGCGCGTCATGCTCTGTATCAGGAGCTGTTAACCACTTCTTGTCACCCCGATAAGAAGGCTGCGATCAGGTTGGCGGACATGCACGTTGCCATTGCCCAGGCCTTTGTTGAGGTTGAGCGGCCCAAGAGAGTCTGCAGCAAGGATCCGGCTGGCTTTCAGGTGGTTGGTATGCTGGCCCTCAGGTGCATGATGGGTTTTCGAGGGCTTTGGCCCAGAGAGTTGCGGCGGTACCCGTCGTGTGCCGCGGGTTGGTCAGGTATCACTGCGCTTGAGTTATTGTGGCAGTTCATCTTTGACACCGGGATGCTGCTTCCGTTTTGGTACGAAAGCAAGTGGTGCACGGTTGATGGTCTTGAACTCATTTGTGCTTCTTGTTATGCCGTGGCTCTACTTGGACGCGGGCGCTTGGGTCGGTCGGTGGGCTTCCCCTGCTGGGAGAAGACGGTGTGGAGGGTCACCCTGGCGCGACCCAGGGTTTCGCGGGGCTGGCGGTGGTGGGTGGTCGAGGACCTGTCCTCGCTTTTTCGTCGGTTTTTTCGGTTTCGTCACTGACGTTCCCTTCCTTTTGGTAGACCTCTGTACAGATGGGGATTAGTAGCTCACACAAGCTGGCCGGCTACTTTTTCCAGCGCTTGGATTTCTGGTGCAATGTGAGAGAGGGTCAAAGTCGGCACTTTCAAATTTTAGCCAAAGACATTATTGTTTGACATGTTTAAAGCATTTCTGAGTGGCGCAAGGTTCACGCAGATTTCCCGCAGGTTTCAAAAATACGTTTTTCATTTATTTCCTGATTCCAAACCCAAAATCACCAACCAAAGACACCACGAAAATCCAATTTTTCCTGATTGTTTGTACATAATTTATGTCACATGTACGAAAGTATACACGCCGGTTTAGCGCAGGTTTCTCAATTAAATTATGTCATTTTTGCGCAGCTTTCTGACCACGCAGGTTTGATCACGGATTGATCGCGAAACCACGAAGCAACGCAGGTTTCTGCAGGTTTCTAACGACATATGGCTCAGTAAAGAAAAAAACCATCAAGACGAGCATTTTTTGGTGATGTCGTTTTCCCGGAGGTTTTGTGCAGGTCTCTTGCAGGTTCTGACATGTTCTGGCCTGTCAACAACCTGCATGAAATCTGCGGGAAACCTGCGTGAAAACGACATCACCAAAAATGCCAAATTTAAGACAAGACTCCTCAGGAAAACAATTTGATCATCAAAACGACATCACCAAATTGGTGATGTCGTTTTGATGTTGTTTTCACGCAGGTTTCCTGCAGGTTTCTTGCGGGTTTCTGATATGTTCTTGTTTGTCAGCAACCTGCACCAAAACCTCCACAAAACCTGCGTGAAAACGATATCAAAACGACATCATCAAAAAGGACTACTGTAATTTACGAAAACACACCTCAGGTGTTTCAAACCAATTCAGCATGACAGCATTTTGTGTGATGCCGTTTTCATGGAGGTTTCCCGCAGATTCCTTGCAGGTTTCTGGCAGGTTCCTTTCTGTCAGCAACCTGCAGGAAACCTACAGGAAATTTGCTTGATTTCTGCACCTAAAGATCGCACAATTTCAGAAAATCATCAGGAACCCAATTCTTTGGTGCCGTTTTCATGGAAGTTTGATGGGGTTTTCCTGCTCTTCTTGTGTGTTTTTATACCGTCGGAAATTTTCATCAAATCTCCCGCAAACTTGTTTTCCTCATGAATCAATCAGGAACCCATTTTTTGAAGCAACCATTTTTTTTTTAGGTCACCTACACCATGTTACTTCAAAAATTGATGAAAAAACATCAATCTCCCAGACCCCCTAAACCACCAACCCAGCCACCACATAAACTTATGTTGAAACATTTTGAAACATAGCATGTTTGGCCCAGGATAGACAACAAGTGGGTGGCCGTGAAGCCGCATGGCGGAGTCGCCCTCACTGAAGACAAGAACAGGGAAAGGGCAAAGGACCCCAAACATCGCCAGATACCTTCAAATAATTTCAATGGTAAATCACATTGCTGCATAGCAAGCAATCGATTTTTTATATGGGTCGTTTGTGGTCCATGTGTTGAGGCCGTTTGTGGTTTGAACAGGGGCTGTGATGCATGTCACAGGAAGCTGCTGAGCTGGCCAGACAAAAACAAAAAAAGGCGCGCTTGACAGGTCAGAGCATTTTGATTCAGCTTGGTTCCCCACCTGCCAGGTGAGGGTTGTTAGATTTTATCAGAGTTGTTCTCCTCCTCCTCGGCTAGCTGTCCTCCTCCTCCTCCTCCTCTAGTTTCTCCTCGACCATGTCTGCATCAACTTCCACCTCCACTTCCGCCTTGCCAACTCTTCGCCACGCTCTTTGCCAACTCTCTTCGCCAAGCTCTTTGCCAACTTCCCAGTTCAGTGCGCACTGGGACCTCAACCTGGGACCTTCCCAGCTCAGTGTGCACCGCTGGACCTCAACCTGCGAGCTGCCCAGCTCAGTGTGCACCGCTGGACCTCAACCGGGGACCTGCCCAGCTCAGTGTGCACCGCTGGACTTCCCAGCTCAGCCAGCTCAGTGTGCACCGCTGGACCTCAACCTGGGACCTGCCCAGCTCAGTGTGCACCGCTGGACCTCAACGGCCAGATAGAATGCCAGAAGAGATGCCAGATAGAATGCCAGAAGAGATGCCAGATAAAATGCCATGAGATATGCCAGATAGAATGCCATAAGATATGTCAGATAGAATGCCAGAAGATATGCCAGATAGAATGCCAGAAGATATGCCAGATAAAATGCCAGAAGATATGTCAGATAGAATGCCAGAAGATTTGCCAGATAGAATGCCAGAAGATTTGCCAGATAGAATGCCAGAAGATATGCCAGATAGAATGCCAGATAGAATGCCAGAAGATATGTCAGAATATATGCCAGATGATTTGCCAGGTAGAATGCGAGAAGATATGCCAGATAGAATGCCAGAAGATTTGCCAGATAGAATGCCAGAAGATATGCCAGATAGAATGCCAGAAGATATGCCAGATAGAATGCCAGAACATATGCCAGAAGATATGCCAGAAGACATGTCAGATAGAATGCCAGAAGAGTTGCGAGTAACAAAATGTATAAATGTCATGGTGGGGATCACACGAAGTAAAGTAATTTTATTTTTTCATTACACTACGATTTGATCAATGGCCACGCTGCAAAATTTTACAGCGCGTTTTTGCATTGCAGGACGACTCTAAAGTCGAATCCGCAGAAGACTATGACGAAAAGTGGTCAGAAAATTATTTGCAGGACGGGTGATCCGGACATAATTATGTTGTGCACACTTTTTCTGCAATGTATGGCAGTAGTACCGCGTGTTAGATTATTAGATTGCGTTAGCGCTTTTGTGCAGTCGCTGAAGAGAGGCAGCAGCTAACATGAGCACCAACAGCGAAGACAAGCCTGATGAGTCCCAGGCAAGGCGGGCATGTCGATGCAGTTGCAAACCATAAGATTTGACTGGCAGTCTTGGCGTTCCCCTCCTCCGTATATAGGCAGGTGCTAAACGGCTCCCCCAGGTTCTGCCGCACGCTTCTTTATTGCCCACTCGCTGAGACCTAGGCAAATCCTGTGGCTGCTATGGGTGTTTGGCTCTCAGGTGTTGTCATCCCTGAGTTAAAAACAAGCTATTCCGCGCATCGTTGCTGCGCCGCGACAGCTGAGGCGATGATGCAGATGATGGGAATGATGCAGATGATGAGTGGCGGGGGATGCATGCCAGGAATGTGCAATGGTTGCAGTGGATGCGGGTGTGGCAATGGTTGTGGTGGGTGCGGTGGTGGGTGTGGATGTGGCGGTGGCTGTTGTGGCGGGTGTGGAGGATGTGGAGGATGTGGTGGATGTGGAGGATGTAGTGGATGTGGTGGGTGTGGTGGATGCGGTAGCGGATGTGGCGGCGGTGGTTGTAGTGGTTGCGGTGGCTGCCCTGGCTGCGGGGGATGTTGCGGAGGGTGTGGCTGTGGCATGATGAATCCCATGATGATGGGCATGGGCTGCGGCAAAGGCTGTGGTGGATGTCCCTCTGGCTGTGGCTGCGGTTGCGGTGGGTGTGGGTGTCCAGGATGCTGTGGCTGCAGTTGCGGGTGCTCCGGATGCTCTGATTGCGGCCCGGCTACTCAAAGCGAGGACAGAACCGGCAACATCGCACCTTTCAGGTCAAGAAATATGAAGAGATGTTGCAACATGTTCGAAACAAAATGCCACTGATCTATGCTAATCCAGCTGGCCAGTTGCACGCATCTGCTCTTGCATGTCATTTCCCTTATTCTGACATTTTCCACGAAGAAAATGTCTTCTTGGAGTGAGGAAGCTGGATGCGCAACGAGTGGCCCCATAAAGGACGAGGGCACCAGTTCCGCGCCAATTCCTTACGTGGCACAATGGTGACTTTTCAGGAATTGCTTCATGCAACTGCAAGGGGTATTGGATGGTATTGAGCTGCATTCTGCATTCATCAACTTGTGTGAAAGGTAGAGAATGCGTGAACAAACAAGTAATGCTGGCCGTCTGGGGCAGCACATGGCTGAGGCGGCCTCAGCCCTACTGATGACAGATGCCGGGGGTCCCCGCTTATGGCGCAGTGCTGACGTTGGAATAATCTAGATATATCTAGATTGTTCATCAAACCATTTTGGCATATTTTGGCTCAAAGCATTCTGCCTATGTTTATATATATATATAATATATATATATACATTATACATAAGTTCATGGAACTATACACAGGGCCAAGAAACATGGAGATTCCCGGAGAAAGAGGCAACGAACTGGACTGAAGACAATTCAAAATTTCAAAGTGCCATATACCAGTAGTGCCCGGCCGTGCCGGGGCGGAAGTTTCCAAAAACAATTAAAAACGGCTAGAAGAAATTAATGGAATGGAAGGGAATTGAATTGAAAGAAGTGAATGAAATTAATGAGACGAATGAAATGAATGACATGAATTAAATGAATGAATGAAATTACTGAAATGAGGGAAATGCATGGAAATGCATGAAATTTATGACATGAATGAAAGTGGAACATCTGTGCGCCGCAAGGGAAATGTCTGGACGCGTGCGAGTTGCGAGCCAGTTTAAAGCACCCGCAGTTGGTTGCGCAACTTGGACCCGTTCCTGACACAAACTTGACAATTCATCCCTGCACTGTGAGACAAACGTTTCAGAATGGTGAGGCGTTCGCTTGTGACGCTGTTTATCTCGCTGCTTGTGACCCTGTTTTGCTCGTCCCTTGTGATGCTGTTCTTTTTCATCATCATAACCATCAGGATCATCAAGATCATGAGCGTCCTGATCGTCATCACCAGCAACACATGCATATCATCACCATCATCATCATCACCGTCGTCGTCGTCATCATCATCATCATCATCCTCATCATCATCATCATCCTCATCATCATCGTCGTCATCATCATCATCATCACCACCACCACCATCACCAACACCACCACCACCATCACCATCATCATCATCATCATCATCATTCTAATCTTGGCTAACACATTCTTACGGGAAAAGCGCATGTCAGAACAGCCGTCCTACTGAGGGGTCATGTTTGAATGAATCCACCCAGAAAATGTTGGCACAAGATGGAGAAGCTGCCCTATCATAGGGGAGAAGGGAAACTGCAGCATAGAGTTTTTTGCCAATAGTAAGGCCAATTTCATCGGAGTATATCTGAGTGTTGTTTCAACATACTGATCAATCTTTGCGTTACTTTGCATTGCAAAGGGGTGTCTTCCAAAAAAAAGTTCCACCGGCAGGGGTTCTTGCCTTAGGACATCATCAATGGGTATTCCAATCGGCCCAGCGTTCCCACGAAGAGTTTGCGTTCTCAGTGGGCCAATCATTCTCTTCGTTTTTCTGGTGAACTAGAACACTTTACTTTGCCAGACTGTTTCTGATGGGGAAAAAGTTAAAATAAAGAAGGATCCGGGTGGGAATGGGTGTGATTGCTCCGAGGAAGGGAAAAAACGAGTTCTGCATTCTTAGCAAGCAATCCTACTTCTTGACGAACATCTTTCTCAAGGAAAGAAAATGAACGGTTTTGACCAGAATTTTTCAGCTGAGTTGGGGCAGGGGACAGGAGTGTGTCACAGTGTGCTTGGTGTGCAGCGTGCACGCATCGTACTCAGCAGCACTGTGCGTTCGCACGAACACCGATCGTTCCCACGAACACCGCATCCATGGACTTGGGATGAAACTGATTTGGCTGCCTAAAACAGTTCTCCAGATCAATCACAATAGTTTTTGCTTGTGATGCAATTATTCCGTTTTTCCTTCAGGAATTTGGCTCACGTTCAGCAAAGGATTGCCTTAAATTTGACTGCAGCAGTCTATGACCTGCCTGTATGAAGGATGGTTAGCGTGAAACTTGCATTCTAAATGTTAATTCAAAAATTCCAAAAAGTTGACACAGCCCTTCGGAATGGACAGGGTTTTTAGAATCATCATCATCATCATCGTTCGTCATCATCATCATCATCAGCATCATCGTCATCATCATCATCATCATCATCATCATGTGTGATTCCTTGATATCTTCTTTGCCTACGAGACCCGAAGCATGCAAGAAACATGTAGTATAAACGCATGATTCTCCACGAGGCAATTAACATGACATCACATATGTGACAGGTTGTAATAGATGGCAAATGTGGCCGTAGTAAACATTTCCCAGTTGTTATTGCCCGTTTGAGGATCAAGAGGATGTTGGATTTTCTATGAAGGGTTTTTAAGAGGGTGGTCGCTGTTAACTATCAACAGGATTGATTCGGTTCGCTGCTGTGAGCTACTTGTAAACAACATTGAAACTCATAGGCACAAAATTGCGCTGCGCTAGAAGCTGCTGCATATAACTGGTCATCCGTATTCCCATTGAAAGAGGTCTGATCGCGTAGCATCATGTCGGTGTGCAAGTGCAAGAGAAGATCGCGCCTAGTATATAGTCCCTTTGCCAAGAGCCAAGGGACGTTATCACACACAGCCCACCCAAAAACCCTAAAAGGTAAAACCATTGGCATTGTCAAGTTTACGAGATGACGAGAAACCTTATGAAACACTCACCTTCCCCGACCCCAAAACATTTAAAGGTAAAACCGCCGGCATTGTCAGCTGTGCGACGTGATGAGAATCATTGCTACACCGCCACACCTGAAAACCCTAAAAGGTAAAACCATCGGCAATGTCAAAATTTTGACATGATGAGTAACATTAGTAAACCCTAAACCACCCACAGCCCAAAATCCAAAAAGGTAAAACCATCGGCATTGCTGGTTTGCGACATGATGAGAAGCATAAATACACCCTAAACCCACCCCCACCCAAAAGCCTTAAAAGATAAAACCATCGGCATTGTCAAATGTGCGACGTGAAGAGTAACATTAGTAAACCCTGACCCCCCAAACAAACCTTTAAAGGTAGAACCATTGGCCCAACCCCCCCCACATGATTAGAAACGTGCTTAGACGCTAAAACACTACCACTCCCTCCCACCCCTATAGGCCTTAAAAGGTAAGACCATTGGCATTGTAAGGTGGCTCTGTGTCTCGTTGATGTACCGCCAGGCATGTAATTCACATGTGATTCAGAGAGCTTTAGAGGACTCTTCGTCGCAAGTGATCGGCAAAAAGGCAGGGGTATGTCTTCGTCGCAAGTGATCGGCAACTGTTCGTCGCAGGTGAATGGCAGACCGCGCATTCAGAATCCCAGTATTCCTGTTTGGCCTCGCTCAAGCCCCGTTTAGCCAACAAGTCCAACACATCGCTTTTGGTGTAGCCGCAGCCCGCCATCATCGAGACGTTCCACGTCAACACCGCAAAAGTGCAGCGTTTGTCCAACAGTCCAACATGATGTGCCTCCAGCACGGTTGGCTCTGAGGAATGCCGAGCCTTCCGATGGCACACAAGACCGCACGCACAATGGCTGCAGACCAACCGCAGGCATGTCATAAACAAAAGCACACAATTTACCAAGCGCATGTGTGTGACACTTTGAACAAGGTTAGCGCAAGCATCTTCACCAGGCAAGTGGACCTTCAAGTCTTTCAAGCGCGTGTCTCTCTCCTCGGCCCACAACATTAGGCCGTACAAAGCGCGCGACGGGTCAAAAGCCGAGTGCCTTAGACGGCACCACTACCACAACACGGTCTGCAGAGAGCTTCCCGTTGAGAAGCGCCGTTTTAACATCAAGTGCTCCCACAGCCGACTTCTGGCCGGCCCCCTCAGACTGCAGCGTCCAACGTGCTGCAGTATACAGCATCCCAGGCTTCATTGAAATTCCCACAGACAGCAATACGCAACTTGTGCCACTTTGGCCCGCCAGGAGTGGCGGATGGCTTCAAGCTCCAAACTGCCTTAGCTGGGAGCACTTCAACACCTTCAGCCTTTAAGCGACGCATCTGCTGGGCATTTATGGGCTGGTATGCAGAATGACTTTGAATGCCGTGCAGCTCGGTTTCCCCAGCTTGCCACCACTTCGCCCTGGGTAGGCACATCGACCGCAGTGCTCTCAGGAGCTACAGCAGCTTGGCGCCTGATTTGCGCTTGGGCATTGTTGTGCCCGTATTCAAGCTTAGCCACCTCACTACCCGATTCCACCGCTTTTTCTAAGAGAGCAAGAAAAGTCGAGGATAGGGGCAATGCCACCGAAGCTGGGGGCGGGGCAGTTTTGCCACGCAAGCGCGGTCGTGGTGGATCAGGCCCCAAGTCTCTTCACCCTGCACATGCAACGATGGCTCCTCTTGCGTGGTTTGCGAATCCTTCTCCTGCAAGCGGCTATCCTCATCCGCGTTGGAATCCTCCTGCTCCTGCCCCTCTTCAGCCAAACCTGCCCAAGACACCTTTTCCCGCAACCGATGGGCGGGTTTGGACACACGGCCGGGATCAGATTGCAGGGCGAGCACAAGCTGTAGTTCCTACGGATCCAGAAGCATACAACACAAAGCTCCCATCAACAATCCGCTCACAGACACCAAGGTACCGCGCAGAAATCTCTTGGCAAGAAGTCATCGCTTTCTCTTTTCCTCTGGCGCGCAACAGTTTCTCGCTCCAAAACAAGGCATGTCCTGGGGAAGTGTCTCTCCCTTGGCATGCTTTCTGAGGATGTAAGGCGCATGCAGCATGGCCCAGGGCCAAAACCCCACAGCCAACCCACTGTCAAGCAACATCGCACAGGCTTTCTCTTTGATCAGCCCAACGTGCCGTTCAGCCAAGCCGTTGGCTCTAGGGTCAGATCCTTCTGTGGTGGTACACCACAAACCCTGTTGCAGAGCGTAGTGGTGCAACGTTTTGTTGCCAAATTCCTTGCCGCGGTCACTGCACAAGCGAAAAACAACCTTGCCTTCATAATCTGCTTGTACTTGCGCAGTCATGCTAGCAACAGCTTCGGTAACTTCAGCTTGGTTTTTAGATGTTTTTAGTGTAAAGCCAGCGAATATAAGGCAACGAATTCCCCGCATCCAACGGACGGTAAACGGCCACCATGGCCCAGCGCCATCCACCTTCTGCTGCCTTGTGTGGACCTGTCAAATCTAAAGCTAAAGTGCCGCGGGATTTCTCAGCCTCAGGAACCTGGCGGTGCATTCTGCCACGCGAAGCAGCAAGGCGTCAAACTTTGCACTCTGTTGGCGACGGATGGTGCCCATAACGACGATGCTCCTTATCAAGTTCAACTTCCTTTACCGCTGCTGCAAAGCACCGGGACAAGAGCTCAGTCAGGTTCATCTGGGGAACACGTGTCCTCCTCCTGTTCCCAACTCTCATTCAAGAAACATATCCAGAAGGGGCCGGGGCGATCCTTGCACGCATCCTCCTCCTCCTCCTGAGCCGGCCCCAGGGGGAAAGGGGAACGTCACAACAAAACCAAGAAGACCATGGATCCGACTCATCCGAGCCACAAGCAACATTCCACTCACCCTCACAATCATCACCAACAGCAATGCAAAAGGATTGCGGCTCAACGCAGGGTGCTTTAATCGACTCAAGGTACACACGGGTCGCTTGGGGGTCCAGACGGGGAGACAAAGTAGCATGCAAGGCGCAAAGGAGACGGTCAAAGGCTGGTTTGGACAAGTACGGGCAAAGTGACGACTTCACTGTCCCAATGAAAAACCAAATCCAAGCCATGAAAAACCGACCCAAGGACATGGCCACATCGGCTGCCTGAGACGACGCAAGCTCAGCATTCTGATCCAAGAAAGCCTGCTGGGCAGGCCCAAAGCAACTTGCACCAAGACTCGCCGCAACAACGTCCAATATTCCTCTGCGGCCGCAGGGTGCACAACATCAAAACCACCACTATACACAAGCACGTCTGGAGGGTCAGAGACTGCCGCTTGCGTCAAGCGGGCACCACGAAGCTCGGCTGAGGGTGAAGCAGACTGCCCAGATAGGTCGCTGGCGGGCTTCCGAAACCAATTCAAAGCATAGTTGCACGCACCTGTTTGCCTACCAATTCGGCCGAAGAGCTTTCAGTCATGGCTGGCTGGGGGGATGGAAGTGCCTTGGAGGCGCTTTTGGTGATGCCTTAGCCGCAGCCTTAGGGGCCGAATTGCAAACCCGCGGCGGGCGGTCACAAGCAGAAGCCATGTGAGTGGAGGAGCCACAATGAAAACAACGACCAGACGATGGTTCCAACCGAGCATGCTGCCAGGAACAGGTGCCGCAAAGGCGACCGGATGGTTTGGCGAAAAACTTATATACATGGTTCCTGTTGTTTACCTATATACTCCCTTTCCTTTGCCTTTACCCTGCACGCCAACCGCCCTGGCAGCTAACTCATCCATGGGTTGCGGCGCATTCTGCTTGCTAGTCTGGTGTTGTTGCTGTTGCCTGTTGCTGTTGTTGTTGCTGTTGCTGCTTTTGTCATGGTCCTCATCTGACGACAGCGTGCGAGCCTCACCTTCCAAGTAAACAGCGTAATCACGCAACTTCTGTTGGGCCGCATGATGGTCAAGCCCAACACCCACACAAAAAGTTTATGAGCGGAACTTGAAATCTTCACAAGCGTTTTCAACATGCTGCACAGCCAGATGCAACGCACGGTAGCAAACAGAGGGGTCTGGGAGCACGAGACCTAGCTCAGATGCCTTCTTCAAATTCGCTTGCCGCTTTCGCAGCGTGGCTTCAGCTTCTGTTGCAGTGCGAGCAGGCGGCGGTGCGTGGATGAACTGCAAGGCCGCCGCCTTGTCGTCACTGCCACCAGGAGAGAACGACACAAGCGCTGCAAACAACAAGCCCACAACCGCCAAGCGACCAGAAGTCACGCAATCTTCTTTTATACTTTGCGGCAAGGACGCCAACAACAAAGGCCAAAGACGCTTCTCCAGAGCCAAGCGCTGCGCGCCAACAACAAACTCAGGAATCATGCTAACACGTTCTATGGGAGTAGCCAAACAAACTGCTCATGGGTCTGAACAGCCGCATCAAGAACTTCATTCCAATATGCCATTGCCCCATCACACAATGGCTGTACGCGCAAGCGGACTTGCTCCAACCACTTGCGCAAGACTGAGGGGCGATCCTTCTGCTGTTTAGGCTCTGGCAGCTGGGGCAAAGACTTAAGAGGCTCAGCATGCAACTTTTCTAGAGTCTGAAACCTTTGCTCTGCACCTCAGCTGACTTGCAAAGTGTTCATCAGCGGTTGCATCAAGGCCATTTGCTGGCACGCAAGCTGGCAAAGGAATGTGTGCAACAGGCGCGGCTTCTGAAGGCCGCTGCTCATTACTTGTGTTGGCTTGTCCCTCCGCGATTGAGGCCTGTGGCTGTGTCTCAGGACTAGCTCTGCTGACTCCTGCTGTCGCACAAGCTTCTGTTGGTCTCATTTCAGCTCTGCTGTCTTGACCTATCTGCCCTGCATCAGCTCCGCTGACTTGTTCAGCTTCGGTAGGTCCAGTTGCAGCTCTGCTGCCTTGAACTACCTGCTCTGCCTCAGCTCGGCTGACTTCTCCCTGCATGCATCGCAGAAGATCTTTCTTCGAGCGCATCAACTATAAGGCCAGGTGCTGACGCATGGGCTATGTCATCAATCGCAACAACTTTTCAGATGCAGCTAAGGTTCTGATCTCTTCTTCTAAAGCAGATGTCGCATCCTGCAGTGAACAAATTTCAGAGTGCAGTGAACTGCACCTTTCGCTTCTGGCCTCAGTGTGCAGCGAACTGCACATTTCACAACTTCTGGTACGATATTTCCCATTGTGATTCGGCTTTCCTAATGCGGATGACTGCTTTGGTCGCCGTTTTTCGTGTTCGGCCACTGGCCGTTATATATCATGGGGCATCATGTCCCGCCTGCGCAAACCGGCTTAATGCCCCATGCCCGGGTGTTAAGTCCCATCCAAGAGGCGGGAGGCCGAAGAGCAATGATTCGCGCGCTTTCATGGTTTCACCCGCGGGCTCACACGCTCCCGGACTGTCACGGTGATACTTGTTCGCTTCCCAACTACTTAGCGATGCGGTTGAGGTGATGATGTGATTGACATGGTGGTGTGAAGACTAACCATGACCATTTGTCCGTAACAGAAGTTGTCTAACTAAACTTCCTTATATGACATATGTATTTATGTTTATTTATTTATTTCTTTCTTTATTTATTTAATTTTATTTATTTATTTGTTTGTTTATTTATTCATTTGTTGGTTTGTTCCTGCATTTGAAACCCAAGTACTCCTAGACCCTCGGCCATGAAGGAGCCGTGGCTGGTAAAAACCAGCATTGTTCACGATGAAAATGTCGCATCGTCTCACAATTGGATGTCACGTGCGCTTCAATGGCAGAAACAGGTGCGAATGGTTTTCCGACATTTTCCTTGAATGCTGCTCCTCAGACTCCATTTGACACATTGTCAGGGTCCTCCACACGAAACCTTCGTCGGCCACGCTTGCAAAGCGCCCCGTCATGTTCTTCCCCACGTGAACAGTCCGGACATATCCCAGCACGTGGTTTCATTATGTTTCATTGTCCTTCGCTATTCAGTGCATGTTGGCGATGCTGTCGGCACAAAGGCTGGCAAAATGAATGTACAGAGATCCGGTAGCAGCGCTTACTGGGACTCTGACGCTTGGAATCCAGATGATCGCGTGTATGTTGGAGCAAGCGATGGGCAGACGTATCTGAGCTTGAATTAAGGAGTTTCAACATGTTACAATGTGTCCCTGGCCCAGACATCAGCTTTGTTCCCCCAGGCAATTTCACATATTTTCAGGTTCTGGTTACCTTAAATTGGGGACGGGTTTGCTGTGATGTTTTGTAACTTTCCCAAATACTACGACTGCATGCCCGTAGCAGTCAGACCTGTTGCATGTTTGGAAACTATTTAATTATTTAACTTTGTGCAGTTTTTGGAGCTTTGAAACCTTGGAACGAACCCAACAAACAAATGTAATACTTCTGTAATCTTCTGTGCTGATTTAGACTCGGGATGTGTGAACTTGTTTGTCCAAGTGCATTAGCGCACTAGACTTCATCGACCCAGACAGAGGTTTTGATCCAAGGCTCTGGGGTCCGGGTCTCCTTTTTTTCTATTTTGCATTATGTTGCTGTGTTGTGTGAAACCTCAGGCATCACCTGCATGCAGTCAGCTCGGCCTGGGACCAAATGTCAAATTGTGCCGCCTGCTTTGAATTGAACCTCTGCATATCGCAAACTTCAACTTGATGCAGCATGGCTTTGGCAGATGCTTTGAAAGTGAAATCAGCTGAACATGCCTTTTTTTCCAAGAGCATTCAAAAAACCAGCAGTCATCAAGCGACTTCATCCACATTCTCTAAGGATGTCGTGCAGCCAGCTCCGCTAGAGGTCGGTCCTTCAGCCAAGAACGCGCAAATTTTATTCAAGTGTGAGCAGATGATTGCAAGATGACCAACATGCAGTGTCGACAAGAATGTATCAACGCCATTTTCAAGTGAGACATTTTGCTTCTTTAGTGGTGGGCACTAACTTTTCTGAGTTTCAAGTAGAATCGTCGCTTTGGCTGCACTTGGCACGTCATGATATCAGGCCGTTTGTTTTTTGCACGGGTTGCTCTTTGTGGTCCTCATGGTTTTTAAATCTTTCAGGATCTTCACGCCTTGCTCAATACACACCATCCAACACTGGTTTGACCGCGGCGTCTTTGGCTTAGCAATCGTTTTGATAGACATATAGGCACGGAAACATACAAACACGAGTTCAGAGAGTCACGCGCAGGCACACGCACGCACATACACACACTCTTTTTCTTTCGCACACACGCACACTGCTGTACACATTCCATGCAACAAACAAGAATTGAACCTTTTACAAAAGCTTTGTAGCTGGCAATGTATTCCTTGAGGAACCGGGGCTTGACATCTCTCGTGGAAGGGGTCGAAGCTGGTGAAGCTGCCAAGCCAGAGCCGTGGCTTGACAAGAAAGGCTCTAGCACCCCAAGTGGCAAGTCGAAAAAGTTGAAGGCTCAAGCAGCTCAAGCTGATCCTGGACAGGCTCAAATTTTTGGGAGGAAACGGTTGCCCCACACTGCTAGAGATAGGGCCAGACCTTGGTCTGCTTCCTTGGCGTCTGACGCAAATCATACTGGAAAAAGTGAAATCAGTGAAAGATGTGAAAGCAAACCAAGTGAAGCAGGTGCCCAAGTTGGCACTGCAGTTGGGACCGAGCTGCAGGAATTCCAAGCAAAGTTTCAAGAGCTCACACAGGCCTACAAGGAACTGAAGATTCGCTTTGATTGCCGGGGTTCTGAAATGTCAAAGCTGCACGAACGGATCCGAAAGTTGGAGCGGCGAATGCCTAGCGTCACCAAAGACACCACCGCCCACAACACAACGACCTTGTTGTCGTGCCGCCAGCCCTGCTGCATACCTTTGGCGCGGTTGAAGAAGGCAGGCCTCAACGTCGAAACACTGCAGGATTTGGATGCAAAATGGGCTGGCTATGTCTTCAGCATTCTTTCCACACAAGCGAGATCATCTGGACGAACGCTGTACGAGATTTTCAAACAATATAGCGACGCACATGCTCGTATAGATGAGTCAGCCTTTCGAAACATGATTCGGCAGTTCATACCATCAATGCCTGAGGAAAGACTCACGCGGCTCTTTTTCTTTGCTGACACAGATGGATCCGGCATGTTGAATTTTCTGGAGTTCTTAAGACTTTTTGGGGTTGATGTAGATGGCAAGATGGGCGAAGAGTATTTCGAGCATGTGATGGTTCGAATGAGAAAGGCTGTTGCGAAAGCTGGGGGCTTGGTGGCACTGCTCAAACTGAATGACAAGTATCTAAACCGTACTTATCCGAACAACAAGTTAATTGATGCGATCGGGCCTGTTGCACCCAGCCTGACGAGGGCCGAAATTTGTGAAGCCACGGCTCGCTTTGTCACTTCAGGTGAGTTGAACTTGTCAGAGTTTCAAAATGCAATGGAGCTTTGCGCTTCCTCAGCCTTTGTGTGCGAGGACTGGGTTCACACGCTTTTCAAGAATGTGTCATCTGCTATCCAGAAGGAGCACAAAGACTTGAAGAGCATTTTGAAGGTTTTGGGTCAAGGCGGACCTGTGAGCCGTGAGGACTTGCGATCTTTTCTTCATCAGTTTCAGCCAAACCTGTGTGACAGTCATATTGATTGTGTTTATGGGTTCCTTTGCGCCAGCTGCCCCAGTGGAGCTGGCAACCTGACAGTGGGCCATCTTGTTGAGATGGTTTGCAAGCCAACACTTGGGCCTGTGCAGATGGGGTCCAACCGTGCCAGGTTGCCACTGGAAGAAACTTCCCGCCTTGCTGTGCAGCTTTCACAGCTTTGTGGAAATCTAAGTGGCGCCTTCGACAATTTGAACCCGTGTCTTCTCTATGATGAGTTTTGTACATCCCTGCAATCACTCGGCTTCAGTAGCGCGTTTGACTTCGAGAAAATTTTTGCTGTCATTGATGTGCAACGCAGTGGTCGTATTCCCAAGTCGGTCTTCATCTCTGTTTTGGAAAGGTTTGTCCAGCCGACGGACTCAGAGAAAGATACAAAAGATCTTGGACTGCGATCGAGCACATCCCTCACTGGCAAAGGTCCCGAAGGTGACAAACTGGTTGAGGATATGGATGAGCGGCTCCAGTACTTTCGAGAAAGGTTGCACACCCGCAGGCAAAACGGCAAGACAGAACGAAACGGTATACCCTCTGCTTTGCATGAGGAACTTCTGTGGGAGTTCCAGCGCGCTGTGAACCGTCTGCTGGTTTTGGAATCTGAGCTGCAATATCGGCAAAAACAAGAAACTCGAGGAGACATTCATTTAAAGCGAGGCTTGATTGACCAGGTCAGAGACTTAGAGGCAGCTCAAGCTCGGCTGACAGCTGAGAAGAGGCCTGCTGCAGGAGAGGTCACGCAGGAGAGCTGGCAGAACTTGGATGAAAGCAAGGTTGCTGAAGCCTGGCATGCTGGATACAAAGAGGCTTCAGATGCTTCTTCCTCTGAGATCGCCAAGCTACAAAAGGAGCTTGACATTGCCAAACAGGAAAAAATCCACTTGCAATTGGCTCTTAGCCAGAAGAAAGAGCATGCTGAGGCAGCCAGTGCAGGGCACATGCTTGAGTGGCACACCCCAGCTGATGAGCCTCACGAAGGTGACAGTGGGAATGAGCGGGCCGAGGGAGAAGATAGACCCAATTCTCCCGCTTCTGAGACCCGAGGGGCTCACGAAGCACACAGTTCCAAACCGCGAGTCCAGCTTCGTCACAGTATAGGAGGTCCTGGAGGCAACTCTGAAAAGATGACCGAAGCCAAAACCATGGGCAGGCATGAAAGACATGATGAAGCTGAAGGAGCTATAACAGATGCCCTGCAGCTCTACGCGCGCAAGCGTGATGTTGCTCAGTTTGCTTCATTGGTCACCGGCACGTCCATAGCAGGCCGATTTATTGTCAAAGAGGTGCTGGCTGTTGAGGATGCTTCCATTGTCTTAGCCTGCAGTGATGCCTTCAATATGCGCGACGTGACTGTGAAGGTGCTCGCCAGAGATGGCCCAAGAACACGGGCAAACTTTTTGCGAGAGTGCTGTATCTACTCAGTACTTTCTGAGGTTGCAGAGGTTCAGAATGCAATTCACTTCCCAGGTTTGACAAGTGGCCTGGCATACTGTGTGATGGAACGCTTGCAGGGCAGGCTGTTGTCTCAACACCTTCAACGCATCCGAGAAGGCGGGAAGCCCTTGCTCCAGGAAATTGATGGAAATTGCATTCACAGTATTTCAGAATTTAGGTACCTAGAGAACTTCCAGTCCAGCAGATCAACATATATATACATATATGAATATATATGATATACGTGTACTGCATATATATAGTTATTGATTTGTGGGTGAAACCACCACATATCATGACGTCCTTTATGCACATGTGTCATGTACCTCCTTTTGCTGATGCGACTTTACATTTTGGCTCAAGAACTGGCTAAAAAGGTGTTTCGCCTGTGCTGCTGGTTCTTGAGGAAACGCATATAACCACCACACTTGGGCTGGGTGTGGGGGTTTTATCTGGCTAACAGCCTCATACGGTAGCGTGAGGTTTTGTGAGGTTTGGGTTTGAGCTACCCCATCCTCACATCACCGCCACTTGTGCACCAACCTTTGAGTCCCGTGCTAATATCGACTTGAAAGCCCGTGAATTCCTTGACTAATACATAAGTGTGACCCCAGCTTGCCAATCGCTTTACTGCTTTAGGCCAAGTCGAGCCCTACTTGATATCCAAGGACAGTGCTTGACCGCCGGGGCGCTGCCGAGGAAGGCAACACCGGCTAATCCATAAATCCTATAATTCTAGGATTGAGTGATCGCCAATTAGGGTTGAGCCTTCATCCAACAAACTAGATTTTTAGTGCCCGGGGCGCTGCCATCCTTTGCAGCACCGGAGTAAATATAGAAAACAAAGAGTTGCTTGGTAAGTGCATTTTGCCGATCTCCTCAAGTGATTCCAAAGGAAGAAGCCTTTTGTGAGAACTCAAGCCGTTGAACGAAGTTCAGAAAGAGTCCAAGACAAGGTCATTGCTGTGCGTTGCTGGCTCGAGTTACTAACTTGTGTTTCACCGCGGCCCGCTACTGCAAGACTTTGTTTCACCACAACCCGCGACCGCGTTGTTTGTTTTGAATGAGCTCAGGACCTTCAGATTACAGGCGTAGATCTAGAAGTCCGGTTGTACAGTCAGAGAGGTTTTCAGAACATCTTCGAAGGGACCCGTCGGGGAAAACAGCATAAGAGGACAAGTAAGAGTTTGCTATTGACGTTATTGGAATACTATCTCTATATCATCCAGTTCGCTGGGGACGCATCTGGACACGCTGCACCTTACGTCAGAAGACAGACGCAAATCTCTGATACGTGGAACGCAGTGAAGTATAACAGGTGGTTTCCGAGGCAAGGTGATCCTCTATTGCTGCGGGGTGACGGGATCAGTCGGAGGAAGAAGACCACCGGAGCCGGATCACCCACCGCCAAGGTGACCTCGTGAGCTGGATCATCCAGTGCCAGAGTTGTCTTCATCTTCGAGAGTGGTGCAAAGATCTTCTAGTGTGGTGACACCTGAAGTGCGTGCAGTGCCGGTAGCGAAAGCAGCATCTTGCCACCGCCACCACCACCACCGACAAGAATCTCAGGTGCAGCAGAATCATCCTCAGCTGTAGGTGCAACAACCAAGGCAAAAGCTGTTGCAAAGTCAAAATCATCCAGAGCTTCCGGAATTCCAATCGAACCTCCAGAGATCGAATTTGATTCAGTGAAGTCAGCTGCAACAACCAGACCATCAGCGGTAGACAGGGCAATCACTCTCAGGCCAACAATTGATCGAGACCAATTGCGAAGATGCAAGCGCTCAGTATTCAACATGGACGGCCATTTGGCATTCCCACAGCGATTGCTCAACTGGGGTGTGACTGTCATACCGATTGATTTCCATCAAGTGTTGGATCTCCATCGAACCACCAGCAACCGTGCAATCCGTCCGACGTCACGAGACAACGGATTTTTCTTGAGAACAGACGTGCAGTTCAGCGCCTGAGGGATACAGGAGACAAGGTCATTGTAACCAGTTACCTGCATTCTGAGTGGAGAAAGCAACAAGTTGTGCGCCAAGCTTCAACACTGCCGATTGACAAGATCGTGATTTGTCAGGAAGACGCAGTCGGCTTTGGTGGGAAACTTGATTGCCTGCGGCATTTGTTTGATCCTGATTCTCGTAGTTCTTTACTGCACATAGACGACAAGGCGCAAGTCTGTGCGGAATTCCATCGAGCTCGAGCTGATCACTTTGCCTCTTGCCACGTGAAAGGACCGCTCAAACCTGGTGTTGGGCAGAACATCCCATCGGTTTGGAATCTGACCCAAGCCGTGGATCACATTTGCTCTTTGGCCTATACTGGTTGAAATAGATTATAAGTACTCGTACAATAGGTGGGTGGCTCGCTGCTTGTGATTCGTTCTCAAAGAGTATCAGGATCCATTCTAGTTGACTGTCCCTAGCCTTTTGAAACAACATCCAGTAACAAATTCAATCCAGACCAGTTTAAAGTGCAAATCACAAGTCAGTGACTGTATCTTTACTCTGAACTCAGCGGGGCGCTGCCGAAGGACAACACCGCCTGTGGAACAAACGGGTGTGACCGGTGAACCCTACTGCAGGTGCGTTCATTCGTGGTAGTTTAGTGAGTTCCCGTTATGCCCCAAATAAATGAAACCATGCCTGGTGGGGAGATGGATAGATCTGAGTCGCTGCAAGTATCATCAACATCTCCTGGTCAAACCCCCACCAACACGTGCATTACACGTCCGAAAGCGTATCAAAAGAAGTCCAGAAGGGTCATCCAGAAGCAGTAGCCATAGCTCATCCAGACCCCCGTCCGGTCGATCAGCGGTCACACCTCGGGGCCCAGGGGCTGTGCATTTGTATGCAGGTGAACCAAGACCAAAGGTCAGTGACTCATCAGCATGAGCATCATTCTCAAGTGAATCAGGATCAAAGATCCTTTACTCACAATCAGGATCAGAGGGTTTTACAAGTGACACTCGGTGTTTCCCCTGAACATGTGATCGAACGAGAGGCTACTATCATTTCGCAAGCTCATGCAGCCGTGCGTGAAGCTAGATGTCAATCTGCAAGTGAAATAACTGCCATGAGAAATCAGGTCAGTGAGGTTCACCATCAAGCTCAGTCGCATGTCCATTCTGTTGAGCGGAGGGCCCATGACTTGATACAAGGTCTGCAGTTGAAACACCAAAGTGAAATGGATCAAATGCAGGCTGTTGCAAATGATGCTCATCGGATATCCCAAGAACAGTTGAATCAAGCAATGAATGAAAATGCAAGTTTGATGCAAACAATCCATGATCAGAGTGTTCAACTACGATTCCAAAAAGATGAACAAAGGGAGATGCGATCGGTAATCCAAGGGTTACAAGATGACCTTTTGCGAACATCTCAACCTCAACCCCAAAATGGTGCGGTGAATGATCGTGAATGAATGCAGGTGGACATGCAATTGAGGAATGAGATTCGCATGCTACAAGGTCAGACCGCAGTGCCAATGATGACTCCAATGCCAGTTGCACCATCGCCAGTACCGATTCCTTTGTACACCCCAGTTGGACACCATACCCCATTGTCCCAAATGTCTGCATGTGCCGGGCTTAGTCCATCAATCGAATAAGCCCACCCCATCGACATCGGCTGCACCATGGCCATAGGGACCACAGTCGCCTGGAGGATCGAGCAGCAGTTCGTCAGATGCTGGAAGAGGTAGAAGTGGTGGTGGTGGTGGGGGGAAATCCTGGAAACGGAACCCGTCGATTCAGGGGGGTGGGCCATCAATTGGCCAAGGTCATGCATCCATAGGGCCTGTGCCATAGGGATTGGTTCTAATATTTTGGGTTTCATGTCTGAGAAAGATGTGTATCGATCAAAGGATTTGTCATTGATTCCTTTGGAAAACTTGCCAACAACAGCATCAGAGTGTAGAGTAGAGCCTGGAAGAACACATTCCTCACAAGAGTGGCGCCGATTGACAACACTGGCCGTGACATCATCTTGAACTGGGTGATGGAAGCCTTTGAGGAAAGCAGGGACATCTCTGAATATGTTGATGGCGGATTGCCGCCACGGTTGGATTCCTATTTTGGTTCTCTTCTTATGGGCTCTCGTAATTTGAAAGGTGAACTTGGAATGAAGTTTCAATCCTATGCCGGGTCTTGCCAAATGACTCGACGTGCACCCCGTGGCAGATCATTTTTGTACATGCTTGCTCAGCACTTCCGCCTCGATCTGAACAGGGGCAGTAACTTGACACAGCAGGCCTTGTTGGACTTGCAGTTAGATGGTTATACAGTTATACAGCCAAGGATCTTGAAAAGTTTGTTGAGAGAGTACGTACTGAATGCCATTCCGCGGAGTCATCAACCCAATGAAGTTACTCGGTTCACATGGTTGTATTCAAGGGTAAAGCGGTGCAAGTTGTTGCAGAGACACCTTGACCGTATTCTAGACAGTGAAACCTCGCATTGTGTAGATCGTGGGGCTGGTTGATGAATAAAATCAAGCTGTTCTGATTGAAGCCCGCGAGGATCAGAATGAAGAGTCCAGCCGTGCATCAGTGTTGACAAAAGCTTCAAAGGAGCAGAAGCCAGATCGACGGCAGCCAAAGGCAGCAGTCGCTGGTACCGATGATGAGAAGGGCAGCAAGGCTGTGGATACCAAAGGTATGCCAGGTCCAACTGCAAAGGCCAAGCCAAAGGCGAAGGCCAAGGCTTCAGGGAAAGGGGACAAAGAACCCAATCCAAAGAAGGAGACTAATCCCAAGGGGAAGGACAACAAGACAAAGGCAAAGGAAAGGGTAGGGAGACAAAGGATCCTAACCCGAAGGCAAAATCCAAGCCAACAATCGCATGCCTGTTTTATCCAAAGGGTACTTGCACGCGTGGGGATAGTTGCCCATTCCTTCATGAGCCAAAGGCAGCTGCAAAGCCAAAGGCAGCAGCACCATCTAAGGCAACTGTGGCAGCAGTCATCGGTTCCGCTGGTGTGTCCGGAGCATTGGCGTCCAATGTTGCCCAATGTTCTTCAGATGTTCTGTTTAGAAGGACTTTGAAACGATCGCCGTGGTCAATGATCAAATCCTCTTTTGCAGCAATCATGAAGCCGATAGTGACTTTGTTG